TACCGATAAAAAATGATTATGCATTTGAGGAAGAGTTCTCGATCAATTTTATCAGTGACAAATGAAATCAAGGCCACAACAAATATAAACAATAATTTAGCCATGGATTAAAAATCTCAACAAATTTTCCTATTTTACATATAAAAGTCCATTTCAGTTATACCTCGGTAATTTCTCTTTCCACAGTCCTCATTTCCAACCGCGACATATTTCAAATCAAAGGGTTCCGGATGGCCTAATGCGGCTCGAACAGAACCCCATTTTGACTTAGAATCACCTCTGGCAAACTCAATACCGTCCAGAATTTCCTGCAGTTAATTAACTGTAGAAGGTCAAAACTAATAAAATGACCAAAAGTTCATAGTAGAAAATTTGATGAATAAAAATGCTTCCATTTATTGTCGACTTTGATTGAACTTGCATGGATATCTCAACTGCATACAGCTTTTTGTAACACTTAAAAAAATAAAAGGACTTTACTTGTAAAAATGGTGCAATGCTGGAAGTGTCGACTTGATCATTGTGGCTGATACCTGATAATCATTTTACATTACAGATATTGTAAAGGTCAATAAGCAATAATTCCAAAAAAAAAAAAAGTTACACAAAGTTATTCTTTTAATAATAATAATAATAATAATAATAATGTAATAATAATAATAATAATAATAATAATAATAATAATACAGTAAAATATATTAGAAAGTACCATTGTTGAATACCCAGATTGGTGCCGCGCCTAAATCCTCAGCAAGCTGCAGAAAAAGTGATTTAAAAAAGGGACAAAGAACAATAAATTAACAAAAAATCTATGAAAGATATTACTGATTCAGAAAAAGGAAAAAATAAGAATAATTCTTGTAATAAAATTATACCTGGAGAAACTCGAGATGACCAAATCCATCATCAGTCCAATAATGCCAAACATCACCAAAATGGCCCGGCCTTTCCTCCCATGGCCCGATAGTTTCTTTCCATCTGAATGCATTCCTTAACCATCCACCTTCAACAAAGCAACCACCTGACAAACAATCATGGATTTCAAGCACATTAAACCTCCAATATAACTCCTGTAGAAAGTTAGACGAGAATCATATAAATATAGTCTCACTGGCCAACAAACATCAGGATCAATGGAGGAGTATTTCACTATTTCGACATACTGTACGTGTAAAAAGAGATCGTTCAGCATCATTTTTGAAGAGTTATAAAATCCATGACTCATGCAGGAGCTTTATTTTTCCTTTTTTTTTTTTCACTGTAAATTGGGATCTTTGACATTAGTCTCACACATTTAGTACAAATGTATATTAGAGCAGTTTGAAAATGAAACATAAGTAATGGAAAAAGCTAATATATTTGCAAGTGGTACCTGGAAATCTAATAAATCCTGGGCTTAAATCTTTCAACATCTTGAAAAGATCTTGGCGAAAACCGTGCCCCTGTTATCAAGAGAAACAGTATTTGATTATAGCTTAAGGTGAAGACATAATGTCATTGCTATAAAAGCAGCATTATGGTAAAATTTTGCCCATTTTAGATTTTCACTTCAGTTTGGAATGAAAGTAGTCAATTAGGCATATTCTCAAACGATTCTGTTTGCAGCAACATAGTATCAAGAAATTGCTAAAAAAAATTCATAGAGGATCCATCGTTCAAGTAAAATCAATAGAAATCGAGTAACATTTATTAAAATTTCCGATAAATCTTTTTACCTTGTATGTTTCTATGGGCATCAGAGATATTTGATCAAACCATATAACACCTTTCTTGGTAGTTGTCAGTTGAAGCCTTGCTTTTGGATCAGTTCCTTTTGCTTGTAAAGTAAGCTCAAACTTAGTCCAATTCGAAACATCAGAAGCCCTGCAAGTAAATACATGAGTTGAGACACAAATGGAAAACAAGAAAACTTGCAGAACAAACCTAATTTATGAAAAAAAAAAAAAAAAAAAAAGATCCTTACAAAATGTTAGCTGTAGCCAGTGTCAATCCACTCGACCCAGTTAATGACACAGTTACGTCAATTGGCCTCAACGAACGAGCATAGAGAATTAATTTATAGGCCTTTCCCTGTTCAATATTCTGCATCACAAAGTTAGGGGAATTTTGCAAAACATCAGCTAAAAGTTAGCATGAACCTGATCAATACTAACAGAAAAATAATTTTCAGTCACAACGCAAGTAGATTTCTATCATGTGCTTAAAGATATGAGAGAGACTGTAATATCGTGACGAAGCTTATAATTTCAAATAACTTTCAAATTTTAATTTTCAAGATTCTAGTGTAGTCAAATGCTTTCAAAGATCATATTTTGCTGTCTTCTTCAAAACCTGGATAATATCCGAGTTCAGGGCACAGGATATATGCCAGGTTAACTAATTTGAGTTGAGGTTTTATGAGATAGCATAAGAATAAATTACAAGAGAAATAAAAGGAAATATAAGTTTAAATGTTTCAAAACATTAAACTGACAGAAATAGGAACTGAAAAGGGGGCATCAAAAGCCATCTATATAAAGTTGAAACTTGAAGATAATATAGAAGTATATAGTTGAATTATTTAAAATGTTGAAACCTGAAAGATAATATACATGTTACAGTTGAATTATCTAAACTTAAGCTAAACGTGTACTTTACCATTCCCCAAAAACCAGGGTTATAAATACCAACTCCACCAGCAGGACATGCTTTGGAATCACAAAGAACCTCCATCCTTAGAGCGATTTTGTTCCGCTCGAAACATGATGAACGTTCAGTTGATACAATTAGATATGATTCGCCACCAATGACCGACCATGGATCAATATTCGAAGGCGTGTTGGGTCCACCAGCTTCGAATCCTGTGGTTGAACTTTAACTTCAGTCTTCAAATATTTGACATCAATAAAATATAAGATACATAAACCTCTTTGACTTCAAAATTCGTATGATTTCATTTTCAAGGGCATAAAAAGGCTTTTCTTTTTTCACTGAATCACGACAGTTAGTTGCAAATTGAAGAAAAGTATGAAAAAAAAAAAATAAAATAGAGGACATTTAGCAGTGACAAGGATCACCATAGGAAATTGACTTGTTAAAACAATATGATGAAGAACAAAAAGGCCAAGAAGTAGCATGATTGAAATGACTAATTAATTCTTGTTACTCACAACAAAAAAGACTTCATGTAGTTCTTAGAAATAAAATCGTTTATTAAGTCTACGGAAAAAACAAGGAAATTCAAGCTGACCTCTGTTACTGACGAGCTCTGCCCATAATCCTCCAGCCCCAGCATGATTTATCTCCTGCACAGATAAACAAATTGCTTCCAGCTCAGCATGACAAATACTAGGTGAAACTTGTGCTGATAGAATAACAAGAGATTGATCATCCAAAGTGTTGTTTTTTAAATTTCAAATAATTAATCCAGGCTATCAGCAGAAAAATTAACAAAAATGAAAACAAGATAAGAAACTGAACCTGAGCGCAGAGTAATCGAAAAAACAAAACTACGATTTTAAGCTATTAAATATTGAAGGGGTTGATGAAACCAATACAAAAATTTTATCAAAGCCGATTAACTCATCCCACCTCAAAAAATATACCGAACAAGGTCGATGGTATCTTTTTAGCCGATGCTTCAGAAGCATTTACGAGAAGAGCAACTGTCTGGTTTGCTTCAATCCCAGTAGCAGAAGATTGAAATGATGAACTCTGAACAATGAGAAAGCAAAGCAAAAGGCTGTGCAACCGAGTAAATGTACCCATTTCTCCCTTAGTGTGTATCCAGTTCTTCTGCAGCCTATTTAAGAAGAGATGAAGATGCTAATTCAGTTATAGTTTGTCCTTAACCATAAAAAGCTATCAACGTGTTGATAGAAAAAGGCTATCTTTTTAGACAAACTTGTCAGGTGGTGCAACAAAATTGCATGCAGGACTTCTCATGTGAAGCAGGAGTCGATGCATTTAACTTGGACCGAAAACTTTACTGATCCAGGTGACTAATCAATATGAAACCACAACTATATAAGACTTCTGCAAAATTCCTGCTTTCTTAAGGCATTTTATTTCATTACATGGCCTTGTAGAGATATTAGCAAATACTTGATCCACTCGTCATCTGATATAGAGATATTTATATACAAACGGTGATGACAATCATGGGAAGAGAACAAACAGAAAGATATTGGAAGGAATAAAAATGAGCTGCAATGAAAAAGGTTACTGAAGCAAATTTATCTCGTTTGAGAATTCGGATAAATTAACCTCCTTTCTTGAAGTTCCTGATATCTACATGTAAGAATATCAACACAATGCATGACAAAGGCACCAAATGATATATAAGCTACAATATATATAATACTGTGATCTCGATAGACATGATAAAAGCTTCAACGGCATAGCCGACAAACATTATTCGCCAAATTTATTCAAATACAACTTTTCTTTTCTGGTGGGTGTTGAAAACAACGTAGAATACTCTGTCATAAGTTCTTTCCCAATTCTCAATCTTTCTCTAATGTTGCAAAACAGATAAAAATCTGCTAAATTTAGTAGAGACTGATCAGCTAAACATGATGCATTCAAGGAAAAATATTTACAACCCAAATTCACAAAACACAGCCCGGTAACAAAAATTGCTCCACAAATTGCCACCAATTTAACAAATTACGGAAAACGCGGTAAAGGTGAAAACTTTATACGGTAAAACAAAATTTTCTTTCCCCCCTTTTGCATATATTTTCCCTTCAAACATAAAATTTACCTGAAAATGGACAAGCAAAGGGGAAAGTCTTGTTCTGGGTATCTTGGCTTTTTCTCTGTGTGTATGTGTGAGAGAGAAAAAGAGGGTTCTTTGGGGATGAGATGGGAGAGAGAAAGGGGCAATGGGTGGCAGTTATATAGTGTGAGCTCAGAGTCTTGCTTCTACTCAATCAAATCATTAATCACAATGGGACATTGAAATTTGTTGTGCAAACTTACTCAATGAGTGTGTGTTTTTAATTGCTTAAAGCCGCAAAACATTGAGAAGCAAGAAAGAGTCCAAGATTTTGATCTTATCTTTGCCTTGACGAAAGTTTTTTTTTTTTTGGTACAAAAAAGGGAGGCCG